TTGCTCCTGCTTTGGCTCTTGCTCCCGCGCTGGCTGTTGCTCTTGCTTGCTTCTGCTGCTGCTAGTGCTACTGCTTCCTCTTGTGCTAGAAGCACTACTTCCCTTCTACTGCTGTGGGCCTCTGCCACCAGGACTACGTCTTGCTGTTCTTTGTACCAGAAAGCGCGGACTTTGCAGGATTTTTCGAGGCCGTGACTTCTGCGGCCGGTATAGTGGATGTGTGGGTAAGGATTGAAGCTGTTAAACTCGACGGCTTATATAAGTGCAGAGTTAAGTTCATGTGAAGCTGCGGAGCTGAGTTCACGTGTAGGGAGAGCTCAAGCCAAGCAATCATCTACTATCCGGAAGACTCACCTTTACATCAGAAAAGCCTCATCGAGTAAATGTCGCGGCAGACTTGCTCTGAAGACAAGTGCATGATGTATCGGTTTTTGGGTGCAGGTCAGCTGCCTGCACGAAGTAGCGAAGGTCTCTGCAAGACCTATTAACATCACTGCTTACTGCACGTTTACCTGCTCAGGGGCTGAAGGCGTTTTGGCCACGGGGCTGGATCTGATGATTGCAGCTCAGCCATGCAAGCCTCGTCACCTCAAAGGTAGACGTCTGCAAGACAAAGACTGCCCACGGAGGCTCTCACGGATCAGATGGAAGGATTGGAAGTAGACTGGGCCTACCTAACCACGCCCTCCTCCGATAATCTTGCGAGAAGAGACGTCCACCTCTACAACAAAACCCAAGCAGAGCTCGAAATCATACACACAGCAACTCGTTACCCTTCGACTCTGAACATCCTATGACTCTATGACCGCTGTGTCGGGGCAAGACCCTAAACGGTGTCACCCAAAAACCAGTAGAACGGATCCATCGAAATCCAGACAGCCAAGAGGCGTTCCACTGTCGTGGTGTGCAAACCTCAACTGATCCGTCGGCACAGTGGAGCAAGGCTTATAAGCTTCAGCGCCCAATGGTTGAGAAGCTTAAACTCCCAAGCGTGGGGCTTTCGAACTCCCGGTTTACAGCCCAAGTGTAGGGCCGTCTATTGATATGGTTAGCATGTGGGAGCATCGGCAATTCAAAACACAGAAAGAGGGCTCGGGCTACAGAGTGTTCGGGCCTAGCGCGTGGTTCTTGCGCCAAGAGCTTTGTGCAGGACAGTTTAGGGACTTGACCTTTATAGCCTCGGGTTCCGTGCGAGGCAGCAGTTCAAGGTTTCGTTGTGTTCGGGGCAAGTGTCAAGGCTCTTCCTGTGGGCTCTTTCCAAGAAGTGATATTCGAGCAGTAGATGTAGACTCGTACAGCCAGGGCCTGCGCATCAGCTCTCACTCCCCACGGGAGCACACATGCATGCAATGGCTACGTTCATGCATGTCTGCGCCGAAGCAATGGTAAGTTCTGCTACAGCTCCCAGCTTCGGTAACATGATGTGTCAGGCAACGCTGCAGCAGCTCCGAAGCAGCACTCAGCTTTGCTGGCCAGCGCAAGCGCAGAGGCCACAGTGGCGGCGGGTCCTAGAAAGCAGAACACTGAACGATGGCATATATTCCCGAACAAGGGGGATGACTACTAGGCCGCCAGCACTACCAGTAATACCAGAAGTAGCACAAGCTTTACGAGAAATATCGATGCTGCTAGTACAAGCATAACAGATCTGCTCCGCTACGGTGGATGGACAAAATCTTGCACCACTTTGCATTAACGTCGTTTACTGACTCCTCGAACCCCCTTTTTAATAGTGGCTGTGACAGTTGCGGGCCGGATTGTTCCAATTCCCGACATCTGGGACTGCTCAAGTTGTCCTAGCTGCCAACATTAAATCGTTTGTAACATGCATGTACCGGTGGTGCGGGACGAAATCCATCCACCGCGGTATATCCATCTTCTAGTACTACGAGCAGGAGCAGGGAGTAGGAGTAGGGGTAGGGGTAGGAGTAGCACAAGTAGTAGCAGTAGTACGAGGGGTCGTCGTCGTCATCGTAGTAGTAGTCGTCGTCGTCGCAGTAGTCGTCGTAGTAGTAGTCGTCGTCGTCGTAGTAGTAGTAGTAGTAATAGTCGTGGTAGTGGTAGTGGTAGTAGTAGTAGTATGTTAGGGTCCCTTTAATAAACCCCCCCCCCCGAGGGCGTTTTGCGCGGGGGTCTCTTGGGGCAGGGTTTGGGGGGGGGGG